TATTCCCTCGTTATGCCAGAAAAGTGTAGCCAAAATATTCGATGTTGATTTTTCCACTTAGAATTTTTTGTTGACCTTGCATCGACTCCTTGTTCGAACAGCCGAGTCCATTATTCACCATCGTATATGAAAGAGCAGAGTACTGATGAGATGATGTGTCACTTCTAGCGCCAAAAATTCAGCAGCCTCTGGTTTCGTGCAATTTGTTAGCCGGCTATTGAGCAATTTCGACAAAGTTCTTCTCTATTGAAAGACACTACCCACCTCTCAGTGCGTTTTCCGTAGGTAGATAGATATCAGGATACCAACTCCTTTATAAAATGTCCTCATTTCAGAGAGTACATGCCAAACACTTTCAATCGATCTTCTTTCATGGTATTATTTCAAAATATCTAATCGTATCCCTTAGTTGGTAGTTTGCCAGAAGGGGAAAGTGCACTCACATATTCCTCGCCAGGAAGCCGTTAGATATTAGTATGCATTCATTGCCCTATACATGTATAAGTAAAAAGGCCATTGATTAGATATGAAGATCTGCCACTAAATCCTTACATCAGACAAATGTGAGACAAATACTCTTTTATGGTGATGCTTAGTATAATGGTGTACCCCAGACTACACCAAGTTAGGTTTCAAATGTGCTTCTTTATATTTTATTATTAGATCTAATGGGTTTTTAGTTTTTAGCGCTAGCCACTTTTCAACTGACAGAGATAGATCAGTGGAATAACCAACAATTTTGACATATGACAATCCTAACATGACTTTATACCAAATACCACAGACCACTGATGCTTAACTTTCTGTAGCATTAATTATATAACGCATATCCCTAAAAGGCAGGTATAGGCCAAAAACTTCGAAAATCTAATCGACAGTATTGAAGTAGGTACGAATGGGTTGCGACTTTATGGAAAAGTTGGAAGAGGTGTCTTTGCGAGAAGCTCACTTTCCTGCTCTCCTTCAGGATAACCGATCATTCTAGTAGATTTTATACTGCAGTTTTAGTCATTATGGAGACAGCAAACTACATTGAAACTGAACTCATTAAACAGGATATCTATATTTTCTGCCTCAGGTAAGGATTAAGTCGCTTCGCTTGCGTTGTGCTGTCACCGATCTCTGCAGCAAATGGCCATACAAAACAGAGAGACATAGAGGGAAATTGTAAGGCAGACGAATTTGCAGGTTAAGGTACGAACAAGCAGTGTCTTCACGTCAAAAAAATAATTGTTAAGCATCTCGCTACTTATAAACAAGCCGGATTCAGATGGAACCACACATTTATTTGAAGAATTTCTAGACAAACTTGGCTGAAATGGGACCGGAAAAGCTCAAAATGTGCAAACTTTTTCCACAAAAACGCCACTGTCAACTTAGCCATTACACAATTCCAACTTCTTATCTCTACAAATACGTTGCGATACCACCAACTGTGTATGCATGAGATGCCAAATATTTTAATATTTGTAATTTGAGGCTTTCGAATGAGTATTTCGCCTTCCATGATGCCTTCAAGGCATTTTCTAATGTAAATATTATATTGCACATTGGCTTCTGTGTTTGAACAAATTTGAATATTTCAAAATGTATGGAATATATATATATATATGTATAATTCACATTCCTCCTTATATATTTGTATTGGCAAATATATAATCGCATATATATATATATTTAGGTTTTTATGTGTGTAGTTCAAATGGTAATTATAAAACCACAACTACTTTGTAACTACTTTTCAAACGCTCGAAACAATGAAGGAGCGTATAGCCCGCAGGCAACACTAATATGAGACTTTTCTATTCTAATAGTAGTTCCAACGACAACAACAGCAAAAGCACTCAGCGCAACCATTGTCATCTGGCTTGGCAATTATCATTATTGCCAATGGCAAGCAACACTATCTAAATGACACATTCCACCAGCGTAATTTCACATCCACTTTGAACCGTTGTCAAGCGTTTGGCAGAGAATATCGCCATGATTTGCATTGAACAAATGTTTGAATATATTGTGCTCCTGCAAATAGATACAATTTTGGTTATATATATTTGTATCTGTATATGCATATGTTTATCAAAATATGATCCTATCACTTTATTCCTTATATATTTTAGCTGATATTTTGCGTTATCTGCCCACTTTTGTAAGCAATTTGCATGCATCACTCGTCCATCGAATGGAATATATGTTACAACACATATATGAATGTCATATATGGTGGTCGTGTGCTTGTATTGTTTAGACATGCACTCACAGCGTCTCCCCTGAGATGGATCGTCATGTCGTATGAGTAACGATAAATGCGGTTGAGAATAAATTGACGATTTTAATTGAGATCATTATGGCTTCGGCGGTTGGTTATGTTAATTATTGGTCATATTTGTTATCGTGTCTGGATAAGGGCGGCCGCGTGGATAGCATTGCGTACCGTTATCTTGTGTTTGAGCTCGTTTGTAGCATGTGAAGTTTCTGTTTTTTATCTGGAAGGAAGGGATCTCCGACAGATTGTCAAAAACTATTATTTGGTACAAGATTAGATCGTGCGTATGTTTTTATTCTGCAGTTGGAGTTTAAAGCACTCCTTATACATTTACTTGATATTTACATGAAAGACTTTAAGTAGGTAATAAGCGACGCGCACATAAAAATACGTTGACAGATCAATAATATAATACAATATAATATAATAAAATCGCAGAACTTAGTATTAGATGATACTTAATAAGAGCTTTTTATTGTTTGAAAAAATTCAGATAGCCACAACAAAATGTGTCCGGGTCTGCTGCTGCTTTTTTTCTACTACAATGTTACACTCCTGGAATATAGTCAAGTTTCTGAATAAGTAGTTTCAGTCGCTGAGCTATTTACAATTCGTACTATTCCTTTCACTTTGGATGCACTGGTATTTACATAAATATGTACTTCGGACCAAAGTTATTTTGTATTTAATGTACAAAAGAGGTATACAATTTATTTATGGTTCAATTCGGATAATTCACAATGTGTTTAAATGGAATCCTTTTGTACCCTAGAATTAGACCAGGAACCAAGAACCAAGTTCAATATGCTCGAAATACAAATACTACTTTCGTTCCGTGAAAGGGAACGCAGTTGTAAAAATTGGAATGATTTTTGACACTTGAGAAGTAAGAACCCAGAAGAGACGGTTCGCAAAACTAAAACAATTTTCGGTCGTCCTGATGAACCTTGTCGGATCAATTTCATTATTGATGGAAAAATATTACCGTTCAAACAAGTTAGTAAAGTGAAAAATAAAATACGTGCACGTCGCTTCTATAGCCCGAAGTGTTGGAAAAAACTTCGTTTGCCCATTCTTCGTCGTTCTTTGAAAATTGGCGTCCACAAAAATCACTACACCATTTTTGGCTTTCGAAGTTCACTTAACGCAAAAACTCAAGCCGGCCGATCATCAACAACTGTCTTTGCTGATTGAGTACTCAAAATCCGGAGTGCGAATATGTAATTTCACCGAGAAATCATCTTGATTGATGAGGCCCATTTTCACCTCAATGGCTGCAACAATAAGTGAAACTTTCGCAACCGGGTCTCGGAAGACCCAAAGTTTTTTATTTAAAAGAGTCTCCATCCTCAACGTGTAACTGTTTGCTGCGGTTCATGATCCGACAGTGCCATTCATCCTTACCTTTTCGAAAATTAGGAAGGAGAATTGAAAGGATTATTCTATCGAGAGATGATTTTTTTGGCCGGAATTGGATGGTGTTTATCTGGAAAACTTTCGCTTTTAACAAAACGGCGTTACTTGTCACACAAGCAACGAAAACATCGTTTTTTTTTAGTTTTCGGCCTTTGTTATTTCTCGAAATTTTGTAAATGAACACCTCGCAACTTCTTCCTGTAGGACGTCGTGAAATATGAGGGCTACGCCCACAACCCAATGTCGCTTCAAAAACCTCAAAAATAGTGTTCGTGAAGCTATTGAGGGCATGCAGCAGGCACTTTGTAATTTGTTGTTGGTAAATTTCGTCCTGTAAGCGTAGATGCGGCCATCATTTGACTGATATTGGTTTCCATTATTAATGGCATATCTTCCTCTTTATATGTAAGTAAAGAACGGATAAATTTTTTGTTAGAAAATAACTTTTTTTTTCAAATATTAAAATAACGCCTCTTGTTGGAAAATCCTGTGTAAGCTCCGCAGCGTTATGGTTACATGCAGCGGACTACAAGTCAATCTTAAACGCCCAACAGATTAGTGAAAATGCTCAGATTCCATGGGTGTTTTAAGCTTACTTCGAGGCGATCATATTGACATTTACATACAAGATTTTGAGTAGAGGAAAAGAGACACATATATACAAGTTCAAAACTTTTGTTGATCATTATTCCGACGAAAAAATTCATATTTTTAATTAGTAAACGATTCGAAATAATATCGAAAAATACAAAGCTACAGAACGTTATAAAATTTTATAGGCTTATTTTGAATAAAAACTACCTTTATTATATACAATATATGAAAGTGGTTCTAAGGAATTGAGGAGACGCAAAACATTCAGCTGTTTCATGACAGAAAATTTATCCGGAAAGAAATCGCCGAGTTCTTGTACTAATAAAACATTTGTAACATTATTTTGGCTTTGAATTTTTTGTTGAAGAAAATAAATAATAAAGAAATTATCCCTTTTTTCTAAGTTTAGTATTTTTATTTTATTTTATTTTATTTTATTTATATATATATATTTTTTTTTTAATTTTGTTAAATAATTTATTTTTTTATAGACTTAACTATTCTCGAGACACAAAAGAAATATTAAGTTTTAACTTTTAAATAATATTTTCAGCTGTGGTAGTATTACATTTTTTATAGTAATAGCAATAATAATGCATTTTTAAATATTTTTATTATAGTAATACCGTTAACAATTTTATTTACTAACATAAGTGGGCAAGTAAATGTAATGACCACAAGCGCCTTCAGAAAAACCTGGAAAAAACCCATTAACTCTTATTGTCTATCTATCCACGTCCACTTTTTGCTTAAGACTATGCGGCAGTTCATTGTAGATCAGGCCCGGAACGCGCGCTAAAAAGAGATAGTCGTTAGAAAAATAAATCTAGCGAGAGCCAAAGAAGGCGAAAGTGGGAGAAGGAGAAAGAGTAGCAAAATATACGCACTGTTGCATTTGTAGATCAGATCCGACCAAATAATCATCTCTTGCGAGAAACAGAAAACGCCCAAGCGGCCACCTTTCAATGTGGAGTCGTAGATGTTGTGCGAATCCAAGATTAAATGCTCACCTTCGTACATTCTGAAATATAAAAAGAGTTGTATAAACTCCGAAATTTTTCGAAATACAAATACCCTATACCTCAGTCGTATCAAACCAATAGCCGGCCGATGTAATAGCGACCAGCGATATGAAGTCTTCTCCTTCCAACCAACATTCTTTGGATCTTTCCACAACAATTTCACCTGATCCGGCGTATCACCCGAATGCCATAAACTGTTGCGCAGCATCGAACCCGGACCGGTTATACTATCGACCAACTTAATTTGTATGCCCGGTTCAGAAGAGGCACGGAATGGCGTTGACTCCCAATAAGTTTGTGCAGCTTTCTTCCACATAACCACATAGAATTTTCGATTACTCTGATAACTGAATATGAAACCAACATAATCATCGTCGGTGTCGTCATTCACATAGAAAGTGCCCTCAAAATCGACGCCACCGAAAGCATCTTCGCCCACAACCAGACCCGGATCACTATTCAGCGTTTGTACGATCTCAGAGCCATTGGCATGCACCTCCCAATTGGGATCACGTTGTGCATCGCCCTCGGGATCGAGTATTACTGAACGTATTGCGCGGAAATCGGTCCTATATATCATGGAATTATTCGGGCAGTTATCACTAAAATTGGGCGTGCCATCTTCATCTTCGTCGTATTCGCAAATGTCGCCCTTACCGTTGTCTAAAGAGAGAGATAGCATGGCTTTTTTGCTTTTGTGAAAGATATACTTCAAGTTACATACGATTTAAATCCATCTGATCGGCGTTGCGTACTAACGGACAGTTATCGCGATGATTGGGTATGCCATCGCCGTCCATATCATCATCACAAGCATCCCCTCTGCAAGCAGACATAAGTTAGACATGCTTGGTAGTACCTAAAAGCCCCTAACCACATACTTTCCATCTCCGTCGGTGTCCAGCTGATCCGAGTTGCTAATGGAATTGCAATTATCCTCGCTATCCTGCACACCATCATCATCACCATCAATATCCGAGTCACAGGCGTCACCCACCAAGTCGTTATCACGATCTTCCTGCGACGGATTCGGTATGGTCGGACAGTTATCACAAGCATCGCCAATACCGTCGTTGTCCACATCGGACTGATTCGGATTCGCCACTGTCGCACAGTTATCGTACATATTTGCTATGTTATCGTTATCGATATCATCATCACAATCGTTGCCCATGCCATCGTGATCCGTGTCCAATTGCCTACGATTCGGCACAAACGGACAATTATCGCAAGCATCGCCCACACCATCGTGATCGGAATCCGATTGATTATCATTATAGTCATATGGACAGTTGTCCTTATCATTCTTCTCGCCATCACCATCGGCATCATCATCACAACCATCACCAATACCATCATTATCAGCATCTTCCTGTCCAGAGTTCGGTAAGTGTGGGCAATTGTCCCGTCTACAACGTATATCGGCACAATTCAAGTCGAAATCAACCCAACCATCCAAATCACGATCACGTCCACACAGAAAGCCATTACCAGCCCAACCAACATTGCATTTGCAGGCGTACTTGTAGTTATCCGTGAGATGGCAATAGGCATTATGATCACAGATCGTGCCATCCGGGCACATATCGGCTGAGGGCAAGCAAATGTTGGTGCCGTTAGCGAAATAGCCGTCGACGCATCTGCACTCATAAGAACCCTGAGAGAGTAAAAAAAAAAATTAGTTAAGCTCTTTTTCCATAGCAAATGGAGCATTTAATTAACTCACAATAGTATTCACGCAAACCGAATGCGCATGACAATTGGCCGAACCCTTCGCGCACTCATCTACATCGTTACAGGTTTGTTTGCGAAAATCTGGCCCAACATACTCCAAGTAGAAACCTTAGAATTTTGTAAATAAAAAAGTTATAAAAATTATTTTTCTAAAGTTCTTTTCATACACCTACGTACCTCTACCATGCTTGCCTTCGTAACCCAACGGACAAGGTTCACACCGAAAGCCGGGATTAAGATTTATGCATTCCACTTTCGGATCACAGGGTCGGTAAATCTCACATTCGTTGATATCGCGACACTTGGTACCATTCATGTGAGTGCCAGGCTGGCAGGGTATGCAGCGGAAATATGGTGGGAAGTCCATTTCAACGCACTCTACGCCTATTTAGAATAAAATTATTAGTAAGCGAGTGTTTTTGCTATGTGAAGCAGCAACCGTATTTAATATGTTTTTCACCACAAATCGCCCTGAAACTATTTTCAATAAATTGCCAAATATGAATGTGAGTAAAGAAGGAGCGACCGGCAGCTAAACCATATTCTAGAGAGCATATATTGAATGCTCGTTATCAAGAACATTTTAACAGTATCATCTAGGGGAACGATGCGAGAAATCTGAAGCTATATGTATAAGAACGAAGCGCACACTGCTTTGGTATTCTATTGAACTGGGTATTGAAAACGTCGGTGCAAAGAAGAGTTGAGTGAACTATGTGCTCTCCGGAAAATACTCGTAGTGTGCGTTAAAGTTGTAATATAAGTCGTCATGTACAGTAAATCAAATTGTTATTGTTAATTTTTATCTTATGTTTCACCTTGAGTAACTGAATTAAATCAAATGTTATTTTATTGAAAAAACACTTCCCGGACGGAAAAGGTAAAGAAAAAAATTTTTCAGTGCCAGAAACATTAGGGCGATACAAGAACATGTGAAAATTTAGACTGAGGGCCGTAGTTTGGTTCGGAATGAGACATACTTTTTTTCTCTTATTAGTTATATTTAATAGACAGTAGCAGAGCGGATATTTTTTTTTTGAGCAGTAGGCGGATACGACAGCTACATGCAACCGGAAAAATTGAAATCTATGCATCAAATTATATCAGAAAATGGAAAATATACAGAGATAAGAGTCAACGAATAACTTAAACAAGGTGTCTTTAAAAAAATCATAAAAACCGTTTATTTAATTTTTCATATAAATTTTACACAAGTTTAAATACTATATTTACGCAACATTAAATGTTAAGCTATATTTAATTAATAAAATATATAATTTCCATTTTCTTTATTAATTTGGTGCACACGTCTGTCCTTTCTCTCTGGCTCTCCCTCGCTCTCTCTCTCTCTCCCTCCCTCTCTCTCTCTCTCTCTCTTTCTCTCTCGCTCGCTCGCTATGTTTGGCTGTAAGTATGCCGCGTACAACAACTTTGTTCCACTCTTAATCCAAGTCTACTTAATTAGTTCTAGAAACCGACCCAAGAAATTTATGTGCTCTTTGCCGAATACTTTCGCATATATTTCGTTTCACGCTGATATTGTTGAACACTTTGGATGGGCACTATAAAGTTACCTGTATGACAACAATAAAAGAATAAAAAAAGAGGAGAGAGAAAGAAAATTTTAATTAATCATTTAAGACTGAAATGTCTGCTGATTTTAAACAGAAAACTAATTTACTGACACGCGAAGAGATTATTATATACCCAATAGAGTGTGTATGTATGTAAGTGTATGGTGAGGGTTAACCCCATAAAATACTGAATATGTGGTAATTTTGAGAATATAAAAATTCAATTAACACCCGCCTCGAGAAACTTCGCGCCTCAGGTGCGAGACGCGACTGTTGGCAAGCACAAAAGCCCATACAAATTCGCTCGTTTTTTTCCATTGCATTTTGAAGTATGATTTTCGCCAATATCATAAATCATATATTGACACTTGGTCTAAAGCCATGCTTGAAAGGAATGCATAAAAAAACAACAACAAGCATTTAAGATGATTTTTGTTTGCGTTGAAATCGCTTTCTTCTTTTTTTTTTGTTTTTCTTTTCTTTTTACTCACCAGAGGGACACGGTCCATCAACGCAGGGATTGTGTTTGCTGCAACTGCGTCCATCACCATCGTAGCCAATGGGACAAGCATCACACTGCGCACCATTCAGTGTATCGTGACATTGAACGCCTCTACAACAATAAAAAGAATAAATAAAACGGATGAAGAAAAGAAAACGAAATGGTCAAAAGCGTAAGAATAAGAGTAAAAATGGATTTTGTAGCATAAAAATAATAATAACAAAAAGAAAGGGCGCGAGTACATATGACTTTCGTACACACACACAAACACACAAACACACACACACACACATTTAATTGTTGGCTTTGTTTTTTTTTTTTCTCCAACACACATTATGAGTTAGCAGCTTTGACAGCATGGACAACATGCGCCAACAACAACAATTGCAATATAAATGATCTTGGCAGCAACAACAACAGCAGCACCAGCACCAGCGGTGGCTACGGCGTGATAGCTTCACGTCAGCTTTTTGACTGACAAAATAAGCTGAAAGGTGATTTTCACATGAACTTCACACATTTCACATAACACAAAATTATGTATGTATGTATGTATGCTCGTGTGAAGATTAGTTAAAGGAGGTTGCCATAAAAACAAAGTTTGTTTAGAAGAAGCGGTGAGCAGAGGAAAGAGGAAATTAACTTTGGTAACAAAAGTGAAACGATTATATTCATAACTCAAATGCAATAAAGTATTGACGGCAAGAGCTGCGTATCTCTAACATAGTGGGTGATTGGCTGAAACCATTGAGTTCCCTAAGTAACTTAACGACACCTGTTTGGAGTCTCTCCAGCAAACCTGTTTTATTTACAATTTTCCACTACGCGCCTGTCATAAAACACTTCGTTCCTTATCTGCAAAGCGCGCTCATTCAAGTTCGAAGTTTCTCAAGTGAGAGCTCTGCAGCCTCTCGGAAGCGCTCACCTTGCGTCCATTACAATTTATCGCTCAGTGGTGGCATTTATTACATAAAGTTATATTTAACTTGCCTACGCCACTCAGAATCCATTGTATTGTTATTGATTGCAATCAGACTGCAGCTGATATCTCTTAAACATAAGTCTACACCTTCCATCCAAATGATCTTCTACTCAGCATAGAAACACCTTAAACCAGTATCAAGGAAGTGATATTATAATGATTTGTCTCTGGAGTGGAGACTATGGTTACCGAAGCACGTCCCCAATCCGTCTAAATTAAGCTCCTTGCAATATAACAAGTTTACTTCAATCTCAAATAACTTATACCTCAACGCCAAAGAATTCATTACATCACACTAGATCTTCTACTATAACTTTAATCACTCCATATTTGCTACTCAACGCTGAATAGTAGCATAAATAATGATTGGTTGGTCCCTTGCGTAGGCTTATTGTGCCTCTCTGTTTATAATATAATGAATTGTTCTAGTTTCTTTCCCCATCTGTAGCCATCTTCTCAGGCCTAGTGCTTTCAGCACCGTGAAAGATTTGAAGTTCCAAACGGCTAAAGATCGGGCACTCGCAAAAGTAATGTTTTGTTCTCTTTTTTTCGCCTTTATACTCTATCGTTTTCACTTTGCTTGGTTTATAAATATACTATCTCAGGTAGGAATTCTCAGCCAGTAAGCCTGCAAGAGTAATAACTTTTATTTTGTTTAGTTCCCCAAGACTCCACTTTTACAAACCATATTTACAGACGCTCAAACGTCTGAGTCAATCGATGTTGATAGCCTTACCAGCGGCTCCAGCGCGAGCCATCGGCCTTTCCATTACCTACATTCCCAAAACCTGAGAGTGCAGTTTGTCACATATTTAGACTTTGTGCTTACACATGTAATTTCGGCTTGATAGTCAACAAGATATTTTACTGATTCTACCGTTAAAGCGGTTGCCCATTTGGCACCTTCAGTAATGTCCACATTCTTTGCTTGGAAGTTGTAGAGTTGTGGTCATGGAGTTTGAAACTACCCTCGTCATTGGAGCGGTCACTTTCAATGGACCCGCTGGCAAGAGGCGAGAATAAGACTTGAAAACTCAGTTGGGGAACTAAGAGTAGATAATATTGTCTCAATTATGCTATAAAGCAAAGCAAACTGGGTAAATGTAAAGGAGTTCGCAGAAAAAGTAGGAGAGTTTTTTAGAGACCTGCAAGTGGCATATACCATTGATGTGACGACACAATGATGATGCGGAAGGCATTTTTCTTCTACTCACCCGCAAAAAAAAATCGGCTCGATAGTTTATATATTCAGGTATGCAATGGTAAAATAATTTCAATTAAAATACGGCTCTCCTTAAATTAAGCTTTCCTAGAGTCGTATTGCTTGTGGTTAGTTGTGCTGGCGAAAGTAAGACACTGTAGTTATTCTTTTAGTGTGGTGAGTTTAAGAGTTTAAAAATATAAAAATGAATTATTCTGAGTTTAAAAGATGTATCCAAACTTACCACATATGGTGAACTACTCAGGGGTAAATAAACAGTGTCAATTAAGATGTAAGGAGTTTGAGTAAGCTAAAATTGCCGGGATGAACTTTTTCATAGTGAATTTGGTTGTGGTGAATTAAAATATTAAGAGTTTGAGCGTAGTAAAGCAAAAGGGATTAACTTCTTCTACTTTTCTTAAAGCATTCTGAGTTGAAATGTGGTATATTCGGGTGCAATAATATTATATGTATTGTGTTATTTATTATTATATATCTTATGAGCATTTCTATTTCAAATACAAAGAGATTTCCTCTCAACCGCCCGGACATAAAACGGATCTTTAAAGTATGTAAAAAAATCTTTAGATACTTAAGTTCAATCAAGATCTGCATAATCAGGAGCTAAGAAATAATTTTTTTCAGTGCATAAATTTAACAAAAATTTGCCAAACCCACAACCACACCACTGATAATTGGAAATTCAATAAAGACAAAGTGCAAATCGTGTTTATTAAAAATGCAAGTGGGTTGCATGCTAAGCCTGAGGCGATTTGAAAACATTTTCAAACCTTTGAAGAGGACGAACTCACCAAATCAACTAAACAAAGGATTTAAGATAATAACAAAGTAAATAAAATAACTTAGCTGAAGAACAGAGGAGAGCTGATTTCTTTTAATATATGAAAAATGCCCATATGCATGCATATCTCACAATAAACGCGTGGGTTGAAGGCGTTAACGATAAATGCTTTGCGTTATGCCGCAAAGTGTAAAGGAAAGAAAAAAGTCAAGATTTATTTACTAAGAGAATAAAATCATACATGAGCAGCAAGCGTGGGAAAGTGTAGTGCATATGCAGAGTAAATAATAATAACAAAAAAATGAGAACTTCGAACAGAAATAGTGAAATGTATAGAAAAGAGTTTACCCTCTTGACCTTGAAAACATTTGTTTGAAAAAATAAATGATCTATGAGCTATGTACCGTCATTTTTAATATATGAAATTGAAGCAATAGAAACAAAAGATTTAAATGAATGTCTTTAATCAAGAAATTTTTTACTTTATAGTAAACTACAATAAAAAATGAATATTATTTTAATAGTTAATAAAAAATAATGAAAATACCAAATAAAAGATAAAAAATAAGTAATAAATAATAAATATTCAATAATAAACAATAAACAATAAATAATAAATAATAAATAATAAATAATAAATAATAAATAATAAATAATAATTAATAAATAATAAATAGTAAATAATAATTAATAATTAATAAATAATAAATAATAAATAATAAATAATAAATAATAAATAATAAATAATAAATAATAAATAATAAATAATAAATAATAAATAATAAATAATAAATAATAAATAATAAATAATAAATAATAAATAATAAATAATAAATAATAAATAATAAATAATAAATAATAAATAATAAATAATAAATAATAAATAATAAATAATAAATAATAAATAATAAATAATAAATAATAAATAATAAATAATAAATAATAAATAATAAATAATAAATAATAAATAATAAATAATAAATAATAAATAATAAATAATAAATAATAAATAATAAATAATAAATAATAAATAATAAATAATAAATAATAAATAATAAATAATAAATAATAAATAATAAATAATAAATAATAAATAATAAATAATAAATAATAAATAATAAATAATAAATAATAAATAATAAATAATAAATAATAAATAATAAATAATAAATAATAAATAATAAATAATAAATAATAAATAATAAATAATAAATAATAAATAATAAATAATAAATAATAAATAATAAATAATAAATAATAAATAATAAATAATAAATAATAAATAATAAATAATAAATAATAAATAATAAATAATAAATAATAAATAATAAATAATAAATAATAAATAATAAATAATAAATAATAAATAATAAATAATAAATAATAAATAATAAATAATAAATAATAAATAATAAATAATAAATAATAAATAATAAATAATAAATAATAAATAATAAATAATAAATAATAAATAATAAATAATAAATAATAAATAATAAATAATAAATAATAAATAATAAATAATAAATAATAAATAATAAATAATAAATAATAAATAATAAATAATAAATAATAAATAATAAATAATAAATAATAAATAATAAATAATAAATAATAAATAATAAATAATAAATAATAAATAATAAATAATAAATAATAAATAATAAATAATAAATAATAAATAATAAATAATAAATAATAAATAATAAATAATAAATAATAAATAATAAATAATAANCGTTGGGCTTGGTAGAGCCTTGTAGCTTACACGTTGGGCTTGGTAGAGCCTTGTAGCTTACACGTTGGGCTTGGTAGAGCCTTGCAGCTTACACGTTGGGCACTTTTCACTTATATGCACTTTCACTGTTGTGCAGTTTCACTTTTATGCGGCTGGGCGCCTTTTTTCGTGGGAATTTTCTTGCCGACGCTCCAATTTTCTGCACTCTTCACTTTTTCTCTCACTGCACCTTTCCCTCATATGCACTTTAACTGTTGTGCAGTTTCACTTTTATGCAGCTGGGCGCCTTTTTTCGTGGCAATTTTCTGCCGACGCTCCAATTTTCTGCACTCTTTACTTTTTCTTTCACTGCACCTTTCCCTCATATGCACTTTCACTGTTGTGCAGT